GAAGATTGGCCGTGGTAAGTAAGCTTAGAAGCAGAAGGAGTATCCAGCTCTTACAGATCGTACTCCTTGTCACATCTCGGCACTGGTCCACACTGCAACCCTGCCAGGTGCCTTCACAGTTTTAAGCCTTATGTTCCCTGGAACTCATTCTTGCCTCCCCCAGTGGGGCTATGATAAACTCTCTGAAACAAGCTGAAGACGAATTTTGATACTCTTAACCTCATCTTCTGTGAGAACCTTCATCAAACAGTCAGGCTTGTGCTTTCCTGATGATTTTTAATTACCTTTTTCATTCATTTATATACAAATACTTATCATTAAAATAAAATACTTGAGAAAATTTATCCTTGTCATTCACCATATTAAAAAAGCATGATAACAATATTTAGAAAAACTTTTTATAATTCAACAGCTATTTATGATCTAAAACTAAACAAAGATAAAGCCCTTTACACATTTGTAAAAATAGAGAACTTTCCTAATCTGTAAACTCTACAGCATCTAACACATTTAGTCATTAAACGTTTAAAAAACCTTCTCTTTGAAGCCATGAATAAAACAAGGATATATATTATCACCATTACTATTCAGCATTATACTAGTGGAAGGCCTATCCAACATAGTATTTGCAAATCACATGATAATTTACAGAAAATATCACAGGATGTGTATAAAAAACTGGAAGCAATTAGAGGAATTCAGCAGGGTCACAAGATTCAAGTCAATATTAAAAAATCATATTTTTAGGTACTAGCACCAAACAACTGTTAAGTGAAGTTTTTAAAAGTACAATTTACAATAACATCAAAAAATGTCAAATGTTTTTAGCAAGTATATGCAAACCGGTATATTGGAAATTATGATAGGGTTTTTTTGTTTTTGTTTTTTGTTTTGGTTTGGTTTGTTTTGATTTTTGCTGAGAGAAATTAAAGAAGACCTAGATAAATGGAGAGAAGTATCATTTTTATGGATCAAAAACTCAATATTGTTAAGATGTGAGTTCTTCCCAAATTGATATATGAGTTCAACACAATCACAAAATCTCTGCAGGATTTTGGGAAAAAATTGAGAAACTGAATCTGAAATTATGTGGGAAAGCAGAGGATCTAGGATAGTCAAGACAATTTTGAAAAAGAACTATACAGTTAGAAGACTTGTACTGCTTGTTTCACTCTGTGATACATTAAGTCAATGTGATATTGCTAGTAAGAATGAAATATAGATCAATGGAACATCCAAAAACAGACCCATGCATCCATACTGACCTGATTTTAAATAAGCTTTCTAAGGTGATTCTGTGCAGAAAAGTTAATCTTTTTCAAATTGTGCTGAATAGCTTGATATTCTTATTTAAAAGTGAACTTAAACTCACACCATTACAAAAATTTACTAGAAGTGGCCCTGGCTGGTGTGGCTCAGTGGATTAGGCACTGGCCTGCAAACCAAAAGGTTGCCAGTTTGATTCCCAGTCAGGGCACATGCCTGGGTTGTGGGCCAAGTCCCCAGGTTGGGGGCATGCGAGAGGCATCCAATCAATCTATCTCTTGCACATTGATGTTTCTGTCCCTCTCTTTCTCCCTTCCCCCCTCTCTAAAAGTTAAAAAAAATTACTAGAAGTGAATCATATTGCTAAATGTAAAAGCTAAAAGTATAAAGCTTCTAGAAAATATAGAAGTCTTTGTAGGCTTGGTTAAGCAAAGAGTTACTAAATAGGACACAAAAGGCAAACTAATGAAAATATTGATAAATTGAACTTCATCAAAATAACAAACTTTTGTTCTTCAAAAGACACTGTTAAGAAAATGGAAGATGGGTCACAGAGTTGGAGAAAATATTTGCAAAATATATATCCAGCAAAAGATTTATATTTAGAATACATAAAGAACTCTTACAATGCAATAATAATGCAAACAATTTTTAAATTGGCAAAGATTCAATAACAAAGATATATGGATGACAAATAAGCACATGAAATAGTACTCAATAACATTAGTCATTAAGGAATTGCAAATGAAAACCAGCATGAGATACCACCATACACCTACTAGAACAACTAAAAAGACTGATGTTATAACAAGTGTTGGTGAGGGTGTAGAACCACAAACACTCATACACAGCTGGTAGGGGTGTAAAATGATACAATCAGGAAAACAGTTTAGCGATGTCGTGGAAAGTTTAACTTTCACCTGCTTTACAAGCTATCCCTTCCTCTCCTAGCTTTTACCCAAGAAAAATGAAAGCATATGTGCATAGAAAGACATTTCTGTATGGTTGTAGGTGCTTTATTTGTCATAGCAAAAAAACTGGAAACAACACAAATGTCTACCAATATTTGGACAAATAAATTATGGTATATCTATATAGTAGGGTACAACTCAGTAATAAAAGGAACTGAAGTATTGATACACATAACTACATGGATGAATTTAAAAATAATTATGTCTTGTGGAAAAAACTACACAGTAAAGCGGATATACTATATTATTCCACTTATGTCACATTGTAAAAGAAATGCAAGCTCAGCTTTTGGAGGTGATGGATATATTTATTATCCGGAGCTTAATGTTGGTTCCATGGGTACATATGGGTATACTCATCAAATGTGCACTTTAAATATATGCATTTTAATGTAAGTCAATGAAACTTCAATGCAGCTATAAAATATATGTATAAGCTGCTGCTAATATTGTGAGTAACTCACCCAGCTTCAGTTTTCTCATCAGTGAAATGAAAAGAATACTACCTGCCTCACAGAGTTTATTTGAAGATTTTACTCATTTGTGTGTGTGTGGTGTCTTATCTGACTTACTAGTGCCCGACACAGAACAGGTGACTCAATGTTCATTCTGCTTCACCACCCCCCTTGCACTTCCATGGGACTGATAAAGTCACCAGGGGCTTTCAAATTACCCTCTTGATAAACCTGGCCAAGTCTTGGAGGCATATTCTCTCTCGTTACCTTTTAATGGCTAAATATAATAGAGAATTTAATAAATAGGTTTTCATTTAATACTAACAAAAACCTTTCCTTTCTCGGCGTGCAGAGTGACTAGATTAACAGCTGAAGGAGACAGCCACAGACAGTAGATTCGTGGAAGTCTCAAACAGACCGCCTAAGGTCAGACAGGGGTGACATCTGACATCATCAGAGGCAGATCCAGAAAGTAAAACAACAGTCACCTACCATAGGAGTTCACACCACAAAGTCAGGAAATCAAGACAGATCAATTGAAGAAGCAGAGCAAAAAGGAAGAGTCTCACAAATAATGGGAAGATAAAGAAATACCTCCCAGTTGAAGGGAAAGGAGGAATCCCCAGAAAGAGAATTAAATGAAATAGAGGCAAGTAAACTATCAAATATTGAGTTCAAAACAACAGTTCTAAGGAAGCTCAATGAGCTCAGTGAGCTCAGAGGGAATTACCAGAAACTACAGAGAAACTACAAGGAACCCACTGCAAACTACATCAGCATGAAAAAAGGACATAGAAACTATCAACAAGAGACAAGAGGAAATGGAGAATACAATTTCTGAATTGAAGAACACAGTAGAAGGAATCAAAAGCAGGCTTGATGAAGCTGAGGATCAAATCAGCGAGCTGGAGGACAAGGTAGAAAAAAACTCCCAGAAAGAGCAAAAAAATGAAAAAAGACTCAGAAAGAATGAAGAGGCGTTTTGGGAAATGCAGGACAACCTGAAACATAATAATATCTGTATAATAGAGATACCAGGAGACGAAGAGGATGAGGAAGCAATAGAGAACCTGTTTGAAAAAGTAATGTTGGAAAACTTTCATAATTGGAGGAGAGAAAAAGTCACACAATTCCAGGAAGCATAGAGGGTCCCATTCAAGAGGAACCCAATGAGGCCCACTCCAAGACACATCATCATTAAAATGGCAAATATCAAAGACAAACAGAAAATCATAATGGCAGCAAGAGAGAAATAGGTAATAACATACAAAGGAGCCACAATACAGCTAGCAGCTGACTTCTCAACAAAAACAGTGCAAGCCAGAAGGGAGTGGCAAGAAATATTCCAAGTCATGAAAAACAGAGGCCTGCAACCAAGATTGCTCCACCCAGCAAGGCGCTCAGTTAAAATGGAAGGCGAAATAAGGAGTTTCCCAGACAAAAGAAGGCTAAAAGAATACACCTCCACCAAACCAACTTTTCAAGATATGCTAAAGGGACTGCTTTAAGATAAAAAGAGTCTGTGAATAAATACCCAGTTCCTTTCAGAGTTGCCAATACTTGATATTACACATTTTAATCTGATTGTGACAATGATGTGTTATTTTAATTGTTCCTTTATTATTTGTTGAAACTAAACCTGTTTTGTATATTTCTTGCCTATTTCTATTATTTAAAAGAAAAAGCTTTAAATGACTTTTTGGTATTCTTTATCCATTTACTGATTAAAGATTGTAGAATTTTTTTCCCTGAAAAAAAAACAACAGCTATTAACCCTTTTTTAGATGTGTGGCAAATACTTTCCCATTCTATTACTTGTTCTTTAACTTTTTTTATACGTATATTACTATATAGTCTTAAATGTTTAATATAGTCATATTGTCAATATTTTACTTTATAGTGTTTGGGATTGAATATTATACTTCAGGGTAAGAAAAATAGTAGTTTGTATTTTCTCCTAAAACTTCTTAGATTCTACATACTGATTTTTAACTCACCTGAATATTTCTTGTATAATGTGTGAAATAGGGCCCTATATTTGTTTTATTTCAAGTAATAGTGGTCCATGCACCTTATTTGTTGAATAAGCCTTATTTTCCCCATTGATTTGAACTGTCAATTTAATCATATATTACATTGTTAGACGGATATATGTGTTTCTAGAATGCTCATTATATTTCATTTGTCTACTTGGAAAACAAACAACAACAACAACAAAACCTTTCCTTTCTCATGAAAGTGATAACTTCAGGCTTTGATCGTGACATGACTTGACAAAATTTCATTGTACTTTTTTATTTTCTCACAGGGTTTATCCATGGCTTAGAGGACTGGGTTATACATCCTTGGGTATATTTTTATTGGGATTTTTATTATGGAACGTAGATAACATCTTTTGTGATTCACTGAGGTAAGATATATTTTCAATCTTTGAGAAATATTTTTGGGAGCAATCTATTAAGCAGAGCTTCATAGACTTATAGAATTATTAGTGCCCTGAAGTGAATTTTTGTCATTGTTGAAATTAAAAAGATACGTACATTACAACAAAGTTAAAATCTAGCAAAACATGTATAAATTACTTAAAAATTTAGACCTAAGGATATTTTGTAACATCTTTAGGGATTTTTAATTAAATGTTGACTGGGCCTTTGAAATCTGCTCAATTTGCTTTACTGTAGAAATTAGTATGATTTGAAATAAGGATATGAAATACATGTATATAATTTTGTACTTAAATACGCTTAATGTTATTTTCTAAGAAAGGCACGTGTTCCCTTTGTTTCATCTTGTCAGCAGTTATATATTGACTGGAGTTTGCATCTTGAGTCTCTGAACTCTAGTCTGTTACTAAAACACTATCATCCTGGGCCTCAGTTTCCATTACAATGAACATGTTAAATAAATTAAAATAGTGGGTCCTTCCAATTCAAAAGTCTGTGAATTAATGGTTTTGTGTAAGCACAGAGGACAAAGGGCTGTATTGAACAGCACCAGAAAGAGGCAGTCAGCAAAATTCAGACAGTGGGAAATACACAGGATGGATGACCTGGTTTTTTCAGCAAATAAACTGCAGAGGGGAGAAAAAAGAAGGAACATATAGATTAAAAGACACTTAAGAGATATATCAACCAAATATACTGTGTTGACCTTTTTTGGATTTTGATTCAAACAAATGAATTATTAAAAAAAAAATTTTGAGCCCTAAATTGTTTGGCTCAGCGGATTGAACACTGGCCTGTGAACTGATAGGTCACTTATTTGATCCCAGTCAGGGCACACGCCTGAGTTGCAGACCAGGTGCCCTGGCTGAGGGCATGTGAGAGGCAACCGATCGATATTTCTCTCGCACATCCATGTTTCCCTCCCTTTCTTCCTCCCTTTTCCTCTTTCTAAAAGTATATAAATAAATAAAATATATTTTTTAAAACGTTGGAATGAGTTAGCAATGATTTTTTTTCTGTTCTTAAATAGCATTTTCTTTATTTAACGTATATTTTACTGATTCTGCTATTACAGTTGTCCCATTTTTTCTCTCCCTTTTATTCCCCTTTGCCCTGAACACCCCCTCCCACCAGCATTCCTCCTCTCCCTTTGTTCAGTTATACATGCGAGTTCTTTGGCGTCTCCATTTCCTATGCTATTCTTAACCTCCCTCTGTCTATTTTGTGCCTACCATTTATGCTTCCTATTCCCTGTACCTTTTTTCCCTTTCTGTCCCCTCACCCTCCCCACTGATAACCCTCCTGTGATCACCATTTCTGTGTTTCTGTTGCTGTTCTAGTTATTTGCTTAGTTTGTTTTGGGGTTGTTTTTTTTTTAGGTTCAGTTGTTGATAGTTGTAAGTTTGTTGTCATTTTACTGCTCATAGTTTTGATCTTCTTTTTCTTAGACAAGTCCCTTTATCATTTCCTATAATAAGGGCTTGGTGATGATGAACTCCTTTAACTTGACCTTATCTGGGCAGCACTTTCTCTGCCCTTCCATCCTAAATGACAGCCTTGCTGGATAGAGTAACCTTGGATGTAGGTCCTTGGCTTTCATGACTTGGAATACTTCTCTCCAGCCCCTTCTTGCCTGCGAGGTTTCTTTTGACAAATCAGCTGATAGTCTTATGGGAACTCCTTTGTAGGTAACTTTCTCCTTTGTGTCTTGCTGCTTTTAAGATTCTCTCCTTATCTTTAATCTTGGGTAATGTGATTATGAGGTGCCTTGGGGTGTGCTTCCTTGGGTCCAACGTCTTTGGGACTCTCTCAGCTTCCTAGACTTCCTGGAAGTCTATTTCCTTGGCCAGACTGGGGAAGTTCTCCTTCATTATTTTTTTAAGTAAGTTTTCAATTTCTTATTCTTCCTCTTCTCTTTCTGGTGCCCCTATGATTCTGATGTTGGAATGTTTAAAGTTGTCCCAGAGGTTCCTAAGCCTCTCCTCATTTTTTTGAATTCTTGTTTCTCCATTCTGTTCCGATTGAATGTTAATTTTTACCTTCTCCAAATCGTTTATTTGAGTCCCAGTTTCCTTCCCTTCACTGTTGGTTCCCTGTATATTTTTCTTTATTTCACTTTGCATAACCTTCACTTTTTCCTCTATTTGGCAACCATACTCAACCATTTCTGTGAGCATCCTGGTTACCAGCACATCTGCATCTCATAGGTTGGTTATCTCTTTGTCACTTAGGTTTTTTTGTTTTTGTTTTTTGTTTTCTTTTTTTGAGTTTTGATCGTTTCTTTCATTTGGGCCATATTTCTTTGTCTCAGCACATCTGTTACATTGTAAGGGGTGGAGCCTTAGGTATTCGCCATGGCAGGGCAACTCATGTCTCTGCATTGTTGTGCTGCATGTGGGGGAGAGGAAGAGAGGGAACAGTGCCACTTGCTCAGCTCTCCGCTGGTTTTCAGTCACTTCCGCTGCTGCCACAAGCAAGTTGGGCCCTTCTGGTGCTTATTCCTGGGTTTGTGTACATTCTAGAACCCTGTGGGTCTCCAAAAAAACTCTTGTGAGGCTGAGTTTCACCTGCCACCACAACCCCCACAGGTTTTTACAGCCAGACGTTTTGAAGCTTTCTTTTCTGGCATTGGAACCCTGGGTTGTGTGGTCTGTCTCGCTCCCTTGTTGTTCCTCCCAGCTTATTTGCATACTAATGTGCGACTGCCAGCCACCGTCTTGCCTGCCCAGTCCTCCAGCCACTGTGTGTCCTCTCTGTACTTCCTACTAGTCTGAGTGTTTCTTCTTTAACTCCTTGGTTTTCGGACTTCCATACAGTTTTATTTTTCTGACAGTTCTGATTGTTTTTTGTTTTTAAATTTGTTGTCCTTTTGGTTGTGCGAGGAGGCGAAGTATATCTACCTATGCCTCTATCGTGGCCGGAAGTCTAGCAATGATATTTTCTTTTAAAGTTTGAGATGATTGAAACTTTGGTAATTGAATATTTGATGATATGAAGGCATTATTGTTAACATTTTAGGTATAAAAATTGTATTTTGATTAAAAACTTTTTAAAGAGTTTTTTCAGAGAAGATTTTCTTTATTTTTAGAGAGAGAGGAAGGGAGGGAGAAATAGAGGGAGAGAAAAACCAATGTGTGGTTGCTTCTCACACACCCCTACAGGGGACATGGCCCGCTACCCAGGCATGTGCTCTGACTGGGAATCGAACCAGGAATCAACTGAGCCACACCACCCAGGGCTATTTTTAAAGAGGCTTTAATTATTAAGAGATTCATATAAAATACTTAAAGGTAAAATGATACAATATCTGGGATTTGCTACAATATAATATTGGGTGATCGGGAGAAGTGGCCAAGAATTTAGATGATACAATATTGGCCCTAAGTTATAATTGTTGAAGCTGGGTAGTGGGTACATTATTATTTTGCCTACTTTTGCACATTTGAAAGTTTTCATAATATAAAGTTAGATAAGTAAATGTAGACTTTAAGGTACATAAGCAAACATAATACAACTTGCTTAGAAAACTGAAATCTAATTGAATGGTTCTGAATCAGAAATACCTATCAGAAACCCCATTAGAGCTTTTACACTGCTAAGGTAAGTAAGTCATCATCCTGTGGGTGAGAGCCACTAAGAAACAAAGTAGATTCTTAGAGATGGTAATTGTCTCAAAAATTCTTGGGCATATCTAGATAAATAACTTGGTGTATCACGTTGATTTTCCTCTATAATAAAAGAGAATTGCAATATGGTATACACTTAATCAGAAGATCTAGAATTTTAGACTTGGCTGTGCCACTAGCAGTGTGACTTAAACAATTCAATTAATCTCTGAATTTAGACTCTTAATCAGTAAGGCAAAGCTAATAATAGCCACCCCAGGGATTTACTGTGAAGTAAAATAATAGATACAAAAGGACTTTATAGACTATGTGATGCACTTCTAAGACAAAGGCTGTATCGGGGCATAGGAAAAGCATACATCTAGTTCCTTAAGTGCATGAATAGCTAAGCAGACCAGTGGTTACAGCGTTAATAAGATAATACCTAAATATAGGGTTCCATGGACAAGTAGGTTACCTGGGGAAAAAAAGATGAAGGTAAACTCATTTAGTTATGGTAGGACTTTTCCATTTTTAATCTGTTAATATGCATCACAGATCTTCAAGAGGGCAATAAACTATGTACTATTTTCCACATTTATTTTGACCATAGAGTCCTTTCTTCATGGAACTCTTTGCTAGGAGTACTATTCCTCAAAATAACACTTTGGAAAACAGTACAGCAGATGAGGAAATTAAATAATTGCCATATTTGCAAATGGTATTTCAGAATGCCCTAAGACTGTCAGCATTAACTATTAAATATAAAAAATAATAATAACATGGTGATTTTCTCCCCTCTCCTCACAGGAACTTTAGAAAGAAGGTACCACCTATCATAGCTGTTACCACACAGTTTCATGCATGGTGGCATATTTTAACTGGCCTTGGTTCTTATCTTCACATCCTTTTCAGGTAGGCAATAGACTTTTTAAACCTAGTATTTGAGTGTTTGTTTTGTTTTGTTTTGTTTTTTATATTCTTCAAATAGGATGTTGGAGACAGAATCAGGAACTTACGTTCCAGCTTTGCCTCTGTCACTGGGTGACCTTATGCAAGTCCCTTAACCTCTGAAGCTCAGTTGTCTTATCCCTTAAGTGAGACAGTTGTACTAACTAACCTCTGACACATGATCTACATTTTAATGCAAGAATGATATAAATATTTCCATTTCTTATTGATCAGCATTAAAGAATAAACTTAGGGAGAAAAGAAAAAGCATCCAGATCCCCTGAATAGGGGCCTGGAAAAGTGTAAGTATCTGAAGTTCCCTGCTTAATTTAAATACATTGGTTGCCACTTTTCTTTCCTTGCTCCCCTAAAGAAGAGTCTATTGGAGGTCGGCCGTTAACAGCAAATATGGAATCAGAATTCTCTCTGATCACCCCATCCAAGCAGTACTTCCATATCACTCTTTCTCCCCTTATTGGGCTGTATTTTTCTTTAAAGCATTTTTAACCAGTTACACATTTATTTAATTGTTTACCTCCCCCAGCTAGTCTGTAAGTTCCTTGAGAGCAACTGGGACTCTATCTTATTCACTGCTACATTCCCAAATGTCGTAGAACAATGCCTTTCGTGTAGTAAGCACTCCGTATATATTGTTAAATGATTTAATGAATAAATGTGTTCATATTGATCTCTTTACCAGGGGATCAGGCTATGTTTAATCTCAAATTCTTCTCAAGAATTGAGAGAACTGAAATATTTGTAGAAAGGGGAAGAAATTGTTTCTTTGAGCCAATGTGAAAATTGACTTAAGCAGCCTGGCTGATTTTATCAATTAATTGATAAAACTGGTTCTTCTATATTACTATTGATATGATCACTCAATTTGCATTCCCTAATTGATTTTATAATCTAGATTAAGAAATATTTAACTGGACCATACAGGGACATGATCTTGATAAGGTCATGGAATGAAAAGATGGTGGAATTCTGATTTAAGTAAAATTTTTAGAACACTTCTTCAAAATAACATTTGCATCTCACCTATCTGGAGATGAACTTTTAGGCAACCTGAATGAACAAAAATTTAGCTACCTGAGAATTATATAAATAAAACATCTGTGCAGCCCAATAGGAATCACTGAATTCATGCTGTGAACAGCTCAAGGTTGTTAATTGTGGAAGAGCTCTTTAAACTCTGATTCTAAGCATATTTATTTCACTTTTTGCAACTTTTTACTGCGTTGATTATTTGGATTCTCAGCCCATAGCATATGAGAAATATCTATATTAAAAGAGAAAGGATATGGGAGAAAATGCTTGTGGAAATTGACATGATAGAAAAGCAAAAACAAGAATAACTATAAAGCAATCCCAAGAATTAAAAACCTAGCACCTTAACACTGCCCAAGAAGTCCCAAGGGAATTGTCACATTATAATACAGCCTAAAATGAATACTCAACAGGAGGTGAAATTATACTCATTATATTCTATTTTAAAAGACTAGGGTTTCCCACTTTCCCCTTTCCTTTTCCACCTTCCTTTCACTTTTTCCTCTCCCCTTCTGATGTGGAAACCCTTCAAGGAAGTAGGGCACTGAGGGGGAAGAAGTGTTGTGCAGACATAGTAGCATTCAATGTCCAAGGGCTAGGGAATGAGGAGAAGGGGTCAGTGGCAGCAGCATGCTGAGCTGGCAAGAAAATTCGGTGGTGATGGGAAAGGGGCCTCTGTGTAGGGCAAGGAAGCAGGGTGACGAGGAGAAGGGGTCTGGAGGAGGTAGATGGAGGAAGTGGCTGGAGATGGGAAATAAATTAATTAAACAGTAAGTGAATATATCGAGGATGACAAAAGCCTGTTTTCTCCAGTCTCAGAAGGGACTTACAAATATGAAAGAGAAAAAGTGATAAGGAACTCTGAGGGGGTAAGATTAGAATTTAAAGTATTGATATAAACTGGTGAATGTGTGACATGTATACATATAATTGTTATTTATTAATTATTATTTTCCATTTGAACAACTGTAAACCTACTTTTGCCCCACCCTGTATATACATATGTACACACACTCAGATATAGAAAAGGTTAGATATAGATGTGTTGTATGTATTATAAATGTGTATTTATACATGTGTTTAGACATGCATATATTACCTAGCTCTGTCTTCTTATGAAAACTGAAAGCAAACTTTGACCCATTGGCCAAAGAAAGCTGAGATCATTTGAATGTCAGAATTAAATAACAAGAGTTTCTAATTATGAATCAAACCGGTGACCTTTTGGTTTGCAGGCTGGTACTCAGTTCACTGAGCCACACCAGTCAGGGCCCAGCAGAATTTTTGTCAGTTGTTTGATTTTATGGCTTCATGGAACAAAGTGGGCAGAAGTCAAGGCCTAGGGCTAACCAAAAGAAAGGAAGTAGCCCAAGGAAGAGAGTAATGGAAGACCTCCTCGCATCAAGCTGGGTGAACCAGGAATAAGCTCACTTTATACTCCATCCTCAACTGACTGCAAAGTAAATTGTTTTGGCATGGAGCAGAGCAAGAAAAAGAAAGAAGCCATGGCCATCACCCATCCCTTACAAAGATTTGCAGCCCATCTACCTAAGTGAACTGGAGAACCTCATGCCATGAACTTGGGTGAAGGTTGTCTTAGACCTGTATTATTCCCCCAATACATGGTGTCTGGCAAAAGCAAACACCAAAGCTTTCTGAAGAAGGACTTTTATTTTTCTCACAGTGTTCAAACTTTCAAAAGTAATTTCTAAGAAAAGTAATTAGTGCACAGTCAGAAATAACCAAGCACACAAGGAAATAAGACACCATGAGCAAGAACCCAGAAGAAGTAGTATAATAGAAAGATACCTGCAAAAATATTATAATTAGAATTATCAGTGATTATTAAAATGATGTTAATTCCTATGCTTGAAGAAATAAATCAAACAAAAATAAGTTCAAGGAAAAATAAACTTTTTCAAACAAACTTTTTAAGTAACCAAATAGAATCTCTAGAAATGAAAATGGTAGTGACCAAAATGCAAAACTCAATGTACATGAATAATAGCAGATTAAACTCAATTGAAGAGAGAACTAGTAAAGTGGAAGATCAGGAAAAATTACTTACATGCAACAGAGGCAAAAATATGGAGTTGAGGTTAAGAGAGATGAAAGATAAAGTGAGATTAATTGGAGTTCCACAAAAAAAGGTTGGGGGTTGCGTATTTTAGTTACAACAACCCCAAACTTATCAGTTTAAAATAAACTAGTTTGTTGTGGGTCTTGAATTCAGAAGGGCTCAGCTAGGCAATCCTCATATGGAGTCTCTCATAGGGCTGGTGTCAGATGTCAGCTCAGGCTGCATTCATCTGTAGGGTCCAGCTAGGTTAGATGTACAAGATGACTGACTTAAGATGCGGTGTCATTTGATACTGGCTGTCATCTAGAAGCTGTGGCTATAAACTAGAGCTGCCTGCACATGGTCTCTTCATCCACAGTGTAATCAGCCTTCATACCTGGCAGATGGCTTCTCCCAGAGGGAAGGTCTCAAGAGAACCAGGAGAAAGCAGCAGTGCCTTTTATAACCTAGTTTCAGAGTTCATATGGTGTAGCTTTCACCATACTCTATTGGTCAAAGTCACAGATTTAAATAGAAAGGACATAGATCCTATGAGGGAGGGAGTATTGAAGATTTTAGGGTCTCCAAACTGAAGTCTGAAGAGGAGGCACTGCTTAGCTGGTGCTGGTATCTGAGTTCAGAGGAGAGTCCTCTCTGGGAGGGAACCCAGGCCTCTGAAGAAGGGCACTGCTGCCACAGGAACAAAGAGCTGCTGCCCCAGTGACAGAGTGCTGTCAGGATGCTGTTCGCAAGAACCACAAGCCAACAGCCCCCCCCTCCCCCCGCTCCAATGAAAATAATACAGGAACATCCTGGCCTCTGTGGCTCAGTTGGTTGGAGCATCGTTCCGTAACCAAAGGGTGGTGGGTTCAGTTCTGGTCAGGACACATTCCTAGGTTGTGTCCTAGTCCAGGTGTGTGCAGGAGGCAACCAGTCAATGTTTCCTTCTCACATTGATGTTTCTCTCTCTCCCTTCCTCTCTCTCTAAAGCAATGAAAAAAGAAATGTCCTCGGATGTGGATAAAAAAATTAAAATACCTTAAAAAAAGCAAATCAAGCAGGAAGGAAGAAGTCCTTTCTTTCTCCTCCAGCTTTGCAGTCTCTCTTGAATGCCCTCTATTAGAAGAGCCTGTCAGGGAGCATTTGTCAATGCAAAAATGTGCTTTGTATTCTCAGCTCCTGCCTAACAAACAGAATATAGAAGGGTGGATTTGGAGCTGAGATACAATAACTTAATAACTGACATATCTGGTAACATTAAACAAGAAAAGAGGAACACCATAAATAACCAGTATCAGGGATGTAAAAGGAAACATCATTATAGATGCTGCGAATTTAAGAAGATTTTTAACAACTTTATGTGATAGATACTTTTATTTATGTTTGAAATGTTCCCTAATAAAAAGTTTGAATTTTAAGCTCATAACCTCCTCTGGGTTAGGCACTCGATATATATTACCTGCTTTAATCCTTACGACAATCATGTACGGCAGGTATTATTTTAGACTTGAGGAAAGACAAGGTCAGGGCAGCCAGGCACCTCATACACGACCTTAGTGTCATTGCCTGGATTTGAGCCCAGAGTTTTCTGTCACCCCAAACCAGTCTAGGAAGCCTTGGAAATCATCTAATATAACTTCTTCATTTGATGGTAAAGCAAACTGAGACCCAGAGAAGCTACTTGCTCAAGGTCACTGGCCAGTCAGAGTACAATATATTGGTTTATGTCTAGACAGAACCAGAGTTCAGGTTCCATTTCTAGCATTTACTAGCTGTGGCACCTTGCATGGAATATTTGACCTTTCTGAGACCATTTGTCATATGCAAAACAGGACTAATAATGCCCACCTGCTGTGGTTGTTTAAGAATTAAATGTGTAGAAAGCTCTGGACCAGTGCTTGCTCCACTGCTGTAGGTACTGTTGGGAGGGATGGAGGTAACAGCAAGGGTTGGAATCCAGGCTTCTCCACTGCAGTGCAAGATACTTTCCTAAAGGAAAGGGAAAGATGGCAGCTTTCTTTTAGAGATTGACATCTGAAAAACAGTCAGAGGGGTTATATTTTAAGACAGTAGAGTGTTCTTCATAATATTGAAGCTCCTCCTTACAGTTCTGGTTTTGGGTAGAGTGACATTATAGCCACATGAAATTACACAAATTCAACTGTACATGCTGTTTTACCTTTTTTTCTCTTATTTAAAAGAGAAAAATTTTCATACTATAACATTATGTCTTGCATATTCACATGTTACACTGTATATTACTATTCAAATACATTTAATTAGTGTACTATACACAAAACTATGCTGTATGCTATGGACAGTTTAATGAATTTTTCACAGGTAGATTTAAATTTACCTCCGTTTTATGCACTGATATTAGAATCTGATATTTTCAGAGATGACTCATTTTAAAGGATACTATGAAAAAAAACTCTGTTATCTTTCTGTTTATTTTATACCTCTGTTGTAATCCTGTAGAGCTGATATAACCATTTCCAGAATATTCTAAGAATACTCTAATCCTTACTATCATATATCTTCGAAGAGGAAACCAGCAATCATGATATGAATCCTATGAAGTATGAATGAAATGCCCCCTCCTAAGCTGAAAACATCCTGAGGTCATAGTCTGAGAGCGGATCCTTTCTCTGTCTCCCTTAGCATCTTGCCAAGTGCTGTGTGCAGAGTAGGTTACTAAGTCCTGGTTGCATGACTCTGTTGGAGCATCATTCCATGCACTGGAGGGTTGCTGGTTCAATTCCCAGTCAGGGCACATGCCTAGGTTATGGGTTCGAGCCCCTGTTGGAGCACATTCAGGAGGCAACCAGTCAATGTTTTTCTCTCACTCTGATGTTTCTCTCTCTCTCTCACCCCTCCCTTCCTCTCTCTAAAATTAATAGAAACATGTCCTTAGGTGAGGATTAAATATATGTATGTTTGCTAAAAGAACAAAAGATATACCAATGTTGCTTGTTCTTTGTATATACATAGACACTATGGTTAAATTTGTCAGTATGCCAGTTTGCATGGGTTAAAAATCAGTATGAGCAACTTTCTCCTCCCCTTTTCTTTCAGTATATATACAAGAACACTTTACCTGAGATGCAGGCCAAAAGTGAAGGTAAGTCCACTTCATAGGGGTTAGGTGTGGGGGGGCGGGTGTTGGGAGAGAAGGGATATTGGGAAGACGGGATGGAGTGGAAGAAAGGGATGGGTTGAAGAAGTAGGGGAGTGAGTACAGATTTCAGAACCAGGTACTCTTGAACCTTAATTCTTCCACTTAATGCTCTTTGACCTTGGGCAGTCCTCTTTAAGCCTTAGTTTCTTCAACAATAAAATGGACCTGTTAATAGCTACCTTGCACAGTTGTTTTAAGGATCTGAGATTATTTCAATGCCCAGCTCTGTGGTTGACAAATAGATGCTTAATACAGTTTAATAAATTAAGTAAACATAGTTTCTGAAATCTAGTGCAAACCTGAAAAAATATGCTATGCTCAGGTACTTCCACCAAGACAATCACTAGCAAACCTACCAAGCACTAGAGGCATAGCCCATGGATTCTTTCTCATTTTTTCAGGGATAATATGGAACACTTTTATCTTATTTCATTTTGTCCTGACTTGTTTCCAAACAGTTTCTCTTCGGAATCTGGCCAGTGATCCTGTTGGAACCTCTCAGGAAGCACAGATAAATTATTCCACTAAGAAAACAAAAAAACACCTGCCGTAGGCCTGGCCAAAGGAATAAGGAGATCCTTAAAGATCTACATGCTCAAATTTATCATGACCATTGCAGCTAAGGAGTGACTCTGACTAACGCTGTCAGCCCCACGGAGAGTGAGGGATGGCGCTTGTTGGATGTTTAGCTTGTGTCATTGTCTCCTTCGTCCTCCTCACCCCCACCCTCACCCTAAGATGTTTAAAAAGAAACAGACATTGTATGTCTATATATACTTGAATGCTAGAAAAATTGGGCTTTTCTTAACAGGTTAACAGTTTGTGCTGATAATAGGAAACTTACCATTTCCTCTTTTTTTGACAACAGTTGCATGTGAATTATACTTTCTTAATATTTGGTTTTAAATAATGAAATCAGCTATATTGGCAAAACCCCATATCCAGAAGGCCAGCTATGAGCTAGCACTTAGCTGTGTCAGCCTTGATTTGTATTTTTGTCCAAGTAAGTAACCTCATGACAGTTGGTTTTCCAAAGTTTTTTTGTTTTGTTTTGTTTAAAGAGCGATCAGTGGGATTTGGTAGTTTTTCATTGTCTGCCTCTGTGCTAATCCGAGTGTGTCATAAGCGAGCTCAAATCTGCCACTGGGTTGTCACATCCCAGCTCTGGCTTGTCTGTGTGTGGCCACATCACAGCCAATCAGAGTGGAGGGGTCATCTTGCAACCTTTATAGAGGCTATGAGAACACCTGTGTAGAATGTTGTCTCTCCAGACACTTAAAGGTGGTTGTTCTGTTTCCTTCAATCTTTGCAGATCTTTACATTGTACTATATTTATGGCGAGGCAAACATGATTGGTGGTCTGGTCTGCCCATATTCCAGCCTGGCATAACTTATTTGAAGTTACCAATGAATGTCTTTATACTCTGACTTTTTAAATTATGCAATACTTTCCAGTTTTCAGAGAAAATATGTTGGGTTATCTAGAGCTAAATGATCAGGATCCTATTTACATAAAGCTTTTTATTTAGAATACCTGCTCCTTCATTTTTTGAAGGAAATAGATTTAAGGGTTGGGAACAGCTCTAACTTACTTGAACTTGTAACAGAGCTCCCGAAAGTTAAAGTGCTGAAAACGGCAGTGAAATCTCACTGTAAGGCAGCTAGCGCTAATTTGGATTTGAATGTATAACAAACTGTGTCAATTTTCACGAACACAATACCTGCCCGGGTTTAAAAACCTGGTTTGACCCCTTTGCTCATGTATCACCGTATTTGTAGCTGTATGCCATTAGCAATTTTATGACTCTTCTTGCTTATACATTATTATAAGATGCAGATTGTTGTTATGAGCTTCAAATGGAGGCTCATTTTTTTCTTATGCAAAGGTATGAAATACGTCTGTCACCCCTCCAGCATTCAGCAAGTAGCCTTAGTACAGTTTTAAAACCAGTACAAATTTTGTTTTTTTCACCTACTTGCCTTAGTTTTAGTCCAAATAGTATTTTCCTTACCTTAGCATGCTAACATGCCATTAGACAGATACTTCCCCCTACTTCTATGATCCTCCAGAGAGAAAAGCACTTGCCAAAACATAAATGTAAAAGAACTGTGGTCGTGCCTTAGGAAAACATGAAACTAAACAGTTCCAACACAGCCCACAAGACTGTTCTTTCTTTTACCACGAGATTCTGACTCCTGGCTACATTTCATATGCAGCTACCTAGGTTATCAGCCATTTTACATTTTTACACCATTTGTTTCGCACCATTGTCCTTTGCACTCAAGATATACTTCTGCTTAAAGAATCTATATATAGAAACAGGCACATCCTTAATCATAGTGCTGCTAAACATTGGGAAACTGAGGTTCTACAGTAGTAGAGTCAGATTAAGTGTATAGAGAGCACATCCTGACAGAGGCTCTTTAGTTTGTTGAATGAGCAGTTCAGCCACCACTTGTTAAATAAAGTTGTCTAAGCACCTCACCTGAGCAGTATGAGTACCACTGGGTGACTTGTACCACTGGCTGGCCAATTTTTCAAAGACCTTTGTTTCCATCATGAAAACAGGATCAAACATTTTACAGGTATTGAGCAAGAAGCAGAGACTAAATCCAGTCTCTTTCATTTTCCAAGTTTTTGCCCCATGTGGCTCTCTTTTTAGCAGCCTAAGTATTAGCACACTTAAGACTTTGTATTTGTGCCACAGCAGGTATTTTGGAAATACTGCTAATCTTTAGGATATTGCTAAATCACCTTTATTTCAATGGTTTTATTTTTTTTCTTCTAGGATTCTGGGTGGGCATTATAGGGTTGGATTACTACCCCTTTCCCTTCCCTTTATTTTCTTGGAGGACTTCCTGTTAACTAGAGTATACAAAGAAAAAAACAAAAACAAAACAATAAACCCTGCTTCCTGCTAAGCAAATAATGGTTTGTTTGCATATCACCTGATGTAAAAGATGCTCATCTGTGTGCCCTATAGTAAATTATATTTTAGAAAACATTAATACTTTATGAGGATGTGAAAGAGGCAATTTACTTGCACATTTTAGTGTCCTTCCTGTGTTGCCCTTTTCGCTCCAGAAAATTTAAAGCAGTTAGACTTTTTTTTTTAAAGGAAAAACTAGGTGAAAGGTGGTTGTGTTAGTCAGATTGGTCATTCTACCCACTCCTCCCCACCTTGGTACATTCACGAACATTGCCACCACCTGAAGTGATCTCTTTGATCCTTGTGATATTATATAAATCGATCATCAACAGGAGAAACATTCATTTTTGAATAATCTACAAATGAGAAACCCAAACAGTAGTATGTGGTTTAGCAGAATTCGATCAAATATTATGGTTTAACCTTATTGCAAAATTTCCAGGACTGTTAATCTGGGCTTTCCTTCCACTAAGAGGATTTTTCTTATACTTTAGAGGAGGGCTGAGTCAAAGAAAATCAAAAGACCAAAAATTTCCGGTACACAAAGCATGAAAGCCCTCAAATGCCTGCCAAAACGAAGTTCCATTTTAATGCAAACACCTTCCGAATTTAGCCAATGTCCCTAAAAATGTTTAATACACTACTTTATTTTCTTGAGAGTTTTAAGGGTTCCATATTAGTTTATTCTTGAAAACAATCATCTTTTGCAGTTTACAGTTTAGCTCTCAATTCCACATTTACATGACAGAGACATTCATTTAACCCTGTGGTTTTGTGAGGTGCTAATGGATAAACATTTGTGTAAAACTGAAATTTCAAAGAGAATCAGTTATCATTGGAATTTGCAACTATATGGCGATTTGCAGATCTACCTTGGTCTACATTTTACATCATATCAATGCCATAGTATAATTGGTTTGATAATTTGTTTTTTAGTGTCTAGAATTACAGCTTGTTCACTATGCTGTAAACATTTGGAAATAATGACTAAAATTTGGCTGGAAGTGGTCTTTGGAGGAGCTGTAAAACGAAGAAGAAAAACAATGGTCATGACCCCTCTGACTGAAAAAATTCAATGCTGTTTTTTAAACCGTGGCACTTCCTTTGAGAGTAAGGAGACTTCTTTCTTTATTGCTGAGGTTTGTGTGAGCCTGCCAGCGGACCTAATTTCTCGTGTCAGAGAGGGAAACTCTCTCCTCTGTCCTCTTAGAGTCAGTGGTTGGGAGCCTGAGAATTTTTTTTATCAGTAGTTGGGGGCCTAACAAGTGACAGGTTAGCAATGGAAAAGGCAGACTTTTATTCACACACTTACATGGGAGTGCAGAGAAAAATGTGACTCAAGGAGGCAGAATGGGAGCTTAATAAGGAAAAGGGCCAGGGACAGAGGGCACTTATGGGAAAACAAATGACTTTTAGGAAAGGCCTTAAGGAGAACAGGTGGAGGAGATGATAGTTTCGTGACAGCGTCTGTTCAGGTGCAGTACGAAACTCCCAGGAAAAGGACTTACGACGGCTGAGTTCTTTTGTGAGTCTCTACTTTTAGGCAGATAAAGGGACTTCGGGGGTGGGGGCAGAAAGAGGCTTCTTCTTGCATCTGCTAATTCCCAGGTGCCTTTAGCTCAAAATAATTCTTTTGCCACAGTGGTATATTCTGCCCCGCCTTTCTGGCACCTGTCTAAAACCTCCCACAGAGTTTAACCAGAAGCTGAATTGGTGGCTATGGAGAGAGGTGTGTTACAAGTTGGGAGGTAAGAGATCTGTGAAGGAAAAGACATAGATTTTCGGAGAAACAAAAGGAAAAACAAAGCTTAATTGTTACAGTAGATTATAAACTCAGTTTTCGAGTCCTGGGGGCAGTCAAAAGGATCCCTAGAAGTTGGTCTTGAAGTGTCTATAGGCAGTGGAGTAAGGGCAGACATAGTCTCAGTCATGCTTATTTCCTGAAGCTTAAAGAGCCATGTTCTTGTGAACTTTCTGAGAGCCATGAGCTGTCGTAGTGATAGCCCCTTTAAAGTATGGCAAGTCATCCAGCTTCAGCTTGCATGGCTTCAGGAAAAGGGCAGTTTTAGTTCTCAGTGATACCAGTCAGGAGTGGGAGAAAATTGGAAATGTTCATCACTGAAAAAATGCACAAGACAGCAGGATCCAGCTTACAAACAGGTGAAAGTATATCAGAGAGAACGAACAGGACTAGAATCTAGTTTTCCACTGAAACAAAATTTCTCTCTATACTCACCCTCATTTTCATCAAAGACAGTTAGGGAAAGACTATTTTTGTTTGCAAAACAAGTCTAGTCTCATCACACTTGGCCTAATTGTTTAAATGCAACAAAAATAATCATTAATGACATAGGCCTTTTAACCTTGTTTTGCTTGGACTTTTATCAGGAATCTCAGATTGGACATTTTAAAGCCTCAAGCCTCAGAAGCCAAGCCAAGGACTCACCATCAGGCTTCCCTTGCAGTATCGGCAGATGTAGATGAATCCCTCCTTCTCAGGGTTCCCAGAACACTCTGAGCTTTTTGGGCCTGCCAGGAAGTGGCCTTCCTCCCCAACCTGTGAGGCCGGGAACCCTGCAAGGGTGCCAGGCTGGTTTTCCAAGAGAGCGTTGTAAGCACTGGCTCCTTCTAAGTCGAACTTACTTCCTTAAAACTAGTCATATCTTATTCTATGCATATCTTCTCAAATACAACGTTCTAGTCAAAGCCTTCGTAATATAACCAGTGCTTCCTGTTGTGTCCTATTACAAGGAGAAACTCTTTTTGGACACACTCAAATAACTATCTTGCCATAAAAATAAGAATATTCAAAGTTTCCAAATTTTGGAGGGATCAGCCATGGAAGAAAGATAAATGTTTTATTTTTGTTTACAAAGATGTAATCTACTAAATTCTGTACGTTTTGTAGATAGATTAAAAGAGTTAACGGGGTTCCTTAAATCTGGAAAACAGAAAATTAAAGAACAGCAGTACTAAATTTATGGTTAGTAATTAATGCTTCAGTCTTTTATCTTATTTGGAAGTGACCTAGACCCAGATGTAGATACTGCTTCACTTGAAAATCAAACTGAAGATAAAACTCTGGCTTCGGACCATGAACTATCATCTTGAGTAATGAAACCTTGATTGATGTCATTGAGTGAAAAGCGGAAAACATAAGGGGTAACAAATTTCATCAAACATCAGCCCTTTCCCTAGTAAGCCATCAGAGCAGCTAAGGAGAGGGCGTCACTAAAGAATTTAAACAGAATTATTAACTGCAGAATTTCTGCTGTTCATGCACATTCAGCCATTTTGAAGAAGCAGGACTGACCCCCGTTTTAATACACTTTAAATATCTAGTATCGTTTCACAAGACCTTCATTTTTCATTAAATTCAGCAAGGTACTACCTGTTTTGATTTGTAGCTAATGTGGAAAATGATCACAGGAATATTTCCTACTAGAAAACCCTAAAACCTAACTGAAGAACTTCAATTACAGGCATGCATATGACTTAAAATCGCCCCACTCTGCTTAGCTCAGCAGCTGGCAACATTATACCACCAACCACACGTCACACTTTGCTCACAGTTCCTTTCGACCCTCATTAACAAAACCTCCTCCTTGTGTGCTTTAAAGAACACAGTGTTAATATTTAAACTAGATTTAGTCATTGGTAATTTGAATGTTCACCAAATTGTCATAAACATTCTGAAACATGGCATTATGGCAAGTTAGATCTGCAGATCATCACTTTTAAGTCGAGTTTACAGAAGTAACTCTAAGGTTGCAGCAGGGTACATTCATTAGGCAAATCGTAAAATATATATATATATATACCCAAAAGAAAATGACAAAAATGTTCTGTGATACCAACTGGCTGTAGACCGCGGATAGGCAGACTACAGCCCCCAGGCCAGATCCAGTCTGCAGTAGAATGGGCTGCAAAGTAAGAATGATTTTTACATTCTAAGTGTTGTTTAAATGTACAAAAAGAAAAAGACCGGCAAAGCCTCCACGGTTCACTCTGGTTCTGGGAGACCTTCAGCAAGTGAGCTCCATAGTGGCAAACCAGTAGTACTCCTGACTGCCCTCCGCAAGGTGATTCAATGTGTATTTGTTGGAATGAAATATTTTATACACTTAAAACCTCTCATTTCTATGGTGAATGTAATCATATGATTAGTGTTTAAATATTTACACTATAAAATTATTTCTTTATATCAGTTTTACTAGATTGGCAGCAGTCTGCTGCGAAGTGCCTAAACCTTTGGAAAAAACTACATGATTTTGTTTTTGTTATAAAGGGAATTCCATCCCATACCGTAAAGTCCAAAAATGTTAGTAGCATTCATCTTTTGAGTTGACTTCCAGAAAGTTGGGCTCTTTAGACCATTTTTTCTCATGCCATTTAAAATGTGCCATATAGTAGTTGCAAAGAAACTAACAAGCTATACCATAGTCATGTGCACTTTTTTTTTCAAAAGGAAAAGTTCAACGTTTTTTCCTTTTCAAGGTAGTCCGAGTTTCTTTTTGGCTCTTTGTAGAGCTAAAATGTTTAATACCTATTAATACATTAGTCTATTTTAAGAAATAGCTGTTATCAATTTCTGTTTAATGTACTGATTGGGTATTGTTTATTGTCAAGCATTTTCATACTTTTAATATTGCTGGGTCATTTATCAGTGTTACCAGCCGATAAACTATTCAAGGTAATTATATGGTTTCCTAGTTTCATTTTGGTATAGATGTTTGTTCTGCTAGCAATTATTTAATAAACATAGGTTGTCCTGAATCTGTTCAAGGAACTAACCACTTCTAGGTGATCTCATGTCTGCTTATTCACTTTTTCCATTTGATTTTCCAATGCCACAATAATTTTTCTAGAAGATAGTAGAATTATGTATATTTATCTAATCTGCTATAATCTAGGCTATATTTCAGCATTAAATTGCCTCTCTGTTGGTGACAGTATTAAATGATGCTGTTTCAAATAAGGCTTCTGGTGATGTTTTATCCCTGGTTTATATTCAATGTACCAGTACATTCATATGGAGACAAGGCCACCATGGTTAGTCGCACCTTTTGCGCACGGCACTAAGGCCCTCTGTTGGGGGTGGAGGGTTAGTGGAGACTGAGATTTAGCCTCCGCTCAGCTTGTCAAGGTATGTGCCTCGGTAGGGCTGCATCTCAGGACACACTGTATTCCAATTTCCAAATGAAGAGGGCCATATAGGCCAGCAGCCGCCCTGTTCAGGGGAAAGGATGCTTAGCAATTAAGCTAGGATTTTTTTGTTGTTAGTCTTAAACTGTACTGCAGTACCTTTCAACTCCAAGCCTAGGGTAGTTTACAAGGCTAAAAACAAGAAAGAATATGAAAAAAAGTTGAATTGTGACCTGCAAAGCCACAAAGATTCACTCTGGTTCTGGGAGCTTGCTTCCTTTCTTTAGACCTTCAGCAAAGGAGCTCCGAAGAGGAAATTTGGTAACTTTTCCATTAAACAGTTATGATCTATAAATACCAAGTATGCTCATGAACCCTCCAGGTTTACACAATGAAGGGGGGACAGATCACAGACACAAAAATTATTGTATAAGGCACATATGTCAGCAGTGACCAAAGTGCCATCTACAAGATTTAAAACAAATTAGAATTTCCCACAATTCACTTAGTTTTCCAAATCACAGCATTTTTTTTTTTTTTTGAAGTTCTATGAAAGTTTATGAGAAAGTTTTGTGGAAGTTCTAGGAGGAAAAATCTGGAACAATACAGTATTCATTATAAGTTTTGAAAAATAACAGGAACAAAAAATTTTGCCAAATTAATGTGGCTATCCTATTGAGAAAATACTTCATGATTATGTGATGTGCATCTGCCTGCCTACTTGCAGTGACGGCCGGGAAGACCTTGCCAGACAGTCTGTACAAGGGGCCATAAAATCATGCAGCCAAGTGCCATTCCTGCCTCTCCCCAGCCTGCCCCCTGTGTTCTGCCTCACTTCCCTGGAGACTGCCATGTAGTTAGTTCACTCTCTCACAGAGATGCTTCCCACCCAGATCCTGAAGAATCCACCCGCTCCAGCCCATTCCCAGCCATCAAGGAGCTGTCGCTAATGTATGTGAATGATGACATCGGAAGGGGGTCTGGAGCTGAGACAGGGAGGGAAGAGAGCAGGAGAAAAGACCGTGAGGTGATCTAACCACTTCAAACTCACAAGGCCCACTCACGCTCCACAAATAAATTATTCTCTCGGAATCAACGATGAGGTTGGCGAGTTAGCCGTGAAACGGGATAAGTCTGAACACTTGCTTACAGACATCTGAGAAATCTTGTCTTCCCCCTGCAGGGGGCACCGTAGATGAGCATGCAGTTTATTCCCAGGTCTGGTGCAATCAGCAATCAGAAGGCTCAGGTGAGAAACTGCAAAGTGGTTCTTGTCAGATGCACCCTCTCAGGAGAGTGGCACAGTGTGTGCAATAGAAGCTTCAATACAGTATTTGCCCTTCGTGTGAGATCTGCAAATCCAAGAGGGAGCAAAAGATTTCTGCAGGTGGGTTTTTGTGGAAAAGCCAAATTAAAACAAAAGGACAGGCAGTTCATTGAGTCTGTTGGAAACAGACAATCAGGGAGACTCTGGGAAACAACACAAGGGATAAAAATCAGACAAGAGTGAAAATTTCAAGTTCATGGTATCTCACTAAGGTCCAGCAGGAGTTGTCTTGGTTAAAGAGGATTCTTGCAGTGCATCTTTTAAAGGACCTGTTGTCTTGGGATGGGATGAAGGAAGTCACTGAACAAATCGGCCTAAATCCAGAGAATCTTCACTCTGACATGTAACTTTGCAAGAACTGAATCAATAATTATTGCCAGTGTATCTGCCAAACACTTGAAGCTGCAACCTTAAAACCTACCCTGTTGTCTGCTTCTGGCTGGTTTTGATGGAGCCAGTGGCTGCCAGCACCTTGGCCAGTTTCCTGGGAGATGGCCACCACATCAGTCTCCTCTGAGCCTTTGAAGCCAAGTCCTCTGCCAGCCTTGCTTCCGGTGCTGCCACTGCGGCTTCTCAGACAGAATTGATTACCCTGTTCTCGTCTCTGTGATGAGCCCATCAAAACTGAATAGATACAATTGTCTGCCCTGATGTTTATCTTCAGGCGCTCTAGAGGTTGATCTGTGTTTAAGAAAAGGAAGGCGATTTAGCCTCCCCAGGCACACCTTGGCACGTGGAGGAGGGAGGGTGGAGCCGACTAGAGTCAGGTGAGGAAAGACTGAGTTTGTGGCTCTTGGGAGAGAGCTGAAGGGACAGCTACCAGGACCCTCATGCTGAGTCACGCTCCCACATTACAGATGGCCTCTTTCTTGGGTGAGCATTCCCCTCCCTGCCCAAACCTCAGCTCTCAGGCATTAGCTTTTCAAACCAAGCCTGCTGGAGTGGGTAGATTCTATCACTGCTGACCATATGGTATATTCTTCCTCTAGTCCCTCCTTTGTGTTTCAGAGAGGAGTAGCCTTGCCTGGATCAAGCCTTTCCTGACAGAGAACACACGTGAATTTGCAAAGCATTTTGAATTGTGCTTTGTAAATGGGAAGGCTGCAAAGGAGTTAGGATTGCCTCAATTCCACCTGTAAATCAGACACACCTTTCTAAAGCCACCCTGCCACGGGCATCATTTGATGTAGTGAATTTTATTGCTCTTAACTCTGGGCTCAGCTCTGGCATGTCTGAGGCATTTTTTCCCACCTCTTTCTCTTGCTTCAGCGCTGGACTGGAACACAGAAGGGTCTACCCAAGTAAGAGAGAAAGAAGAACCTGTCTCATCTGGTAGGGTGTCCTAGTCCCAAAACAGGGCTTGATTCTCAAAGGAACATGTGAAGAAAGCATAAAAAGAGAAAGAGGATTCATTTTTTGAGCCCTGTTATGTGGGGACTACACAGCACTGAGCCATCCATTCAACAAACCGGAATGCTGTGTCCATGGTAGGTGCCATGACTGCAGTGGAGAACAGGACGGACACCTGCCCTGTGGCACTCTCAACCCAGTATCTAACCATAGTGCCAGTCACGTCTGGGATGAGCGTCACGGAGGAAGGGTATGGAGTGCGCCCTGGGGAACTGGAGCAGGGAAGGCTTCCCTGAAGGTGAACATTATGTTAACAACTGAAGGATGAGAGGAATTAGGAAGAAAGAAGCCTGGTTATGGCAGAGAGAGCAGGAGGCGAGTGGAGACAAGGGCAAGTCCCACAGGGCTTTGAAAGCGATGGTAAGAATTTGAATTTGGAAAGCTGTTGAAAGCGTGGGAAGTGGAATGCAGGAAGCCAGTGTGGATGGATCTAGGGATTCCAGGTAGAAGAGAGGGCGGTAGTCCAAGGAGAGGTAAGGGCGGAGCATGGCACTGGAGATAGGAAAGTATGAGTTCTGTGGGAGGAAGCAGATTTGGGTGAGTTATGAAATAAGTGGAATTTGTTGAGTTTGAAGTGTGTGTGAGATAAATACAGAAAGTCCTCAAATAACAATTTTGTTCAATGTAGTTTCATTCTAATATTGATGAGAGGAAAAAAAAAAATCGGCTCCCGGCCTGGGCCCCAGGCTGTGTGGAGTCTGCTGCGCCCTCCCTCGTCTGTGAGTGTTTTCTCTCCGCGCTCCGGTTTCCTCCCTGTCCGAGCATGGGGCGCAGGTGTAAGGGCCACAGAGACAAGGAGGTGTCTTCAGACCAACAAACAAAGCAGGCAGCTCCACAGAACGTGACAGGATTTATTACAAGGTAATTACTTGCGGGAACACAGGGTCAGAGAGGACAGACAACCCAGCAGTTCTGTGCAGATCATTGTCCGTCCCAGGATCCTGTTATAGTACTTCTTACAGTGATGATCGACAAGACAAAGGAACAAAGAATACAGTAAAGCCAAGGGCCATACCTCCCGGTGGTCTGGTGATAGATGACTGTTTATAATCGTTACTATCACCGGTTTGATATGTATCTCTGTTGTCATGCCATTCCAGGCAACTGTTACTAACAAAAATATTTATGGTTGCATTTTAAGGAATACAGATAATCAACTAGAAGGCTATGATATACGTACTGAGGACAGTGAAGTTAGATGTCACAGCATGAAACTTAGAAATGAAATCTAGGACACAGGGATGGGATTGGCTTTGTTCCCATCTATGTCTCACACACCCGCATCCCAGAGATGTGCTGCGCGTTAGGCTAACTAGTGTGTCCACACTGTCCTGGTCTGTGTGAGTGTGGGGCGGGGGGATTGGCCCTGCGACCGGAGGGCGTCCTGTCCGGGGCTGGTCCTGCCTTGCGCCCTGAGATGCCGTGAGAGGCTCCAGCCGCCATGACCCAGAACTGGAATAATGGGTTGGAAAAGGATTATCTTACTTGGTCTTACTCATTTTTCTTAAAGGTATGTACAGCTCACATTTATTTCAATGTTTAATATTAGAAGTGCTCTTGGGCCTTTCCTTAGAAGTTTGGTGATGTTTTTGTGATCAGAAATATGCCATAGAAACTTAACTACTGTTTCTGTCAACTGGCCTGTGGTAAAATTGGTCTCGTTATATGCTGTTTCACTTAAATTTGCAGTTGCTGAGAACCTTTTGATGCTGTTAAGTGAGGACTTGCAGTATGCTGGTGGAGAGCTTAAGGAGAAGCGTGGATCTGGAGCTCAGCTGAGAGATCGGACTAAAGATAATTTAAGAAACAAAGCATACACACTGCTTGAAACTGTGGGAGTGGACGGGATCATGGAAGTAGAGGGTCTCAGGCTGAATCCTAGGAACCACCCATTTAAGAACTAGTTAAGAGGAATTTTTAAGGACAAGGGCACCTCCAACCAAAGGGAATTAGTGGCCACGCAGAAA